GTTATAATGTTTTATAAGGACCTGTAGTATCCATCGCGATCGGATCTTGCACTGTGCTGTCGTTCAACACCAAGGCGATGTGGCAGTGGTAACGTTGAAGATCGGCTGCCGCCTCCGGAACACTGTGACGCTGCTTCATTACAAAACATCAACACGTATTAGTAAATGGCACAATTTTACAACATATTTTAACATATAGGTAAGAATCATTTCACACACATATTAATTAAATAAGCGTACCCACTTAATATTTACTTCTAATTTTGTGGTACCTTTTTAATATTGCTGATTTTTTTAGTTCTTGTAATACTTCGTGCATTTTTTATCAATACTTGTAGCCCTTGTAACTACATATGTACGTTGAATCGTTGGACTTCTTTACCACTTTGGAAAACATGTGTTAACGAAACGTTGTAATATATTTTTAATTTAATACTTAGTTTCTTAAAACATTTATGTTTAAAGTCTTAAATTTTAGTTTATTATTCCTTATGTCGATTCTTAATCATAAATTCATATCTGTCTTAAATTCATAGTCTGTAAAGTATCTACATTATTTTTGCACGCCGATGTTGAAGGCAAAATAAGAGGACGTAAGTTATTACAAAATTACAACTATCTGTACCTTATAAATAATTTTTGAATTTTGAATTTGAATTTGAATTTGAATATCTAACAGTTTACAATGAGAGAGCAGAAATACTTATTTTCTGGACTTTAAAAGAGACAATGACCTCTGAGTTTGTTTCGGTGTTTCTTCTCAGAGTAGTCACTTAGGAAATGTCGGCCCTCATTTGGTAATTTAAAGATTAACTTTTAAAATTGTTACTTTGTAACCTATTTGCAGAAATAAATATAATTTCATATCACTTCATTTAATTTACTACGTGGTAACACATAAATTATTATGTAATTATTGAGTTAAATCATTTTCAATAGAACACCGCTTTTGCCTAAACATGTTAAATAATAAAATAAGAAGTGCTATTGTGTTTCAGATATTTTTATCAATGGCTCACGAATTTAAAAAAAACATACTTAAGGTATAAAATCTTCTTACAATTTTATTAAGACTATTTTAACGATACACGCAACTGGTGTATGTTATAAATCTCTTATACTTAGACTAATTATCTTACTTAAATATTCAATGTGGGTATACTTTACTATCTACATATGACTATAAAATAAATCAGCGGCAGTATATTTGATATAGGATAAGATAGTGTGTGTTTTAGATTATTACAAATATGGAGCAAGGCAATTAGATTGATTCCCGGTTTTAATGTTTTTACTACCTTACGTCTGTTGTACCCGTTTTTACGCCCAGTGTTAAATGTCTAAAAATTTCACCCCTATAGATCTTGACATAACTGTTTACTGACAAAACACCTTTGACTACGCAGCGTCGGGCTTGATATTGTAATGTTAATATTAAAACAAACAAGATACAATTGACTTACTCCACACAGCAAAGGAATTGAAAAAAAGAACAGAATCAAGTACGTGAGTACCATGCTTTTCGCTTACAAGAACCAAATAAAAGTTCCATGGTAAAATAAAATCATAACAAAACGTTTAAAGGGTAAGGTGAATAGAATACATAATTATTAACATTCCAACACAGGTACATATTGCATAGATATACACGATAATGCAATGATACCAATCATACAATAAATAATTAATTTTTATCACCTCTGTCCCTTAACGCAGCCTCCTTAAGGTGTCTCAAAGACTGTAGAATTGATTCTTGGGTCGGTCCTCAACAAAACAAAAACAGGGTTGAAATTAAATCTAAACAAGGTTGAATCGTGTGCAGTTTATGTTGTAAAAATGTATTTTTAAATTCAATTCATATTTATCAAAGTTGGCTGCATGCTTTTATTTTTGATATTTTAAAAGTGTCAAAAAGCCAAAGTATTGTAAAGTTACTGTCAAATGTCATATACTTACGTCGTCGCGGTGGATAGGGGCTTCGTTGATTAGAAGACGACACGTTGTCATTGTACTCCGCTGAATTAGAACAAATATACATGTGAAAATAATGTACTAAAGCCTCAAAGTTAATAATACAATTTCATTTTTTTTTCATTCATCAACAGCCTATAAATATATAATGCCCTCTGCTGAGCAAAGCCTCTTCTCACAATAATACAATTATTAACTTTAAACTTTTCTTTAATAACTCTGTATTTTAAATATTTTGTATAAATAAGATTTTGTTTTCCACAAAAATTATACATGTTTCATCATTATCATCAACAGCCTATAAATGCCCACTGCTGAGTAAAGCTTCTTCTCAGAAGGTTTAAGCATTAACCATCACGCTTGCTCAATGCGGGTTGGCGATTACAAACTTTAATTAGAAATTGTAAGCCAAGTTTCTTCACGATGTTTTCCTTCACCGTTTGTCATTACATTGCAGATATCAGGGTCTAGAAATATAATCTTACAAAGTACATGTAACTCGGAAAAAGTCACAATGGTACTTGCCGTCTTCTATCGTTTGTACTGTTATACATCTGTAATGTCATATGTACTGTGAGTATATCGTGTGTAGAGCCCAAAAAAAGTGGGATTAATTTACAATCTATGGCAGAAAAAATCGCAATCTTTAGAATGCAGATGACACCACACTACTCGCAGTATCAGGGAGTGAGATGCCGGAATTGTTTTGAAAAATAAAGTAAGGAAGTGGACTCTCGATTACTAGAGCAAAGACTAAACTTTTGTATTTTAATAGAACTGGTCAACTTTCTTAGACTGAATTAATGCCAAATATATGTAGAAGTCCTCACTGAGTTTATCTTCCTGGGTTTTACAACACGATCAGAGACAATGCGGTAAGGGGAAAGGATGACCTCAATCGGCCAAAGATGCTGTCAATAAGCTCTCAACGATAATAATATGGCGAATAGGCTCATGATTCAGTAAATTTGGATAAATTCGGTATAGTGGGTAAAGGGGATAGTAATGATAGACTGGCAATGGCAGACTTTTGCCAGTCTATCGTTACTCTCTATTACTGATGCTGACTTAATCCAGGTCTCCCCATTACAACAGTGGGTAATAGAAATCAGTAAACGCTTAGACAGATGAAAGACTGGTTGGTTTGGAAACATTTTATAAACTCTTCCATCAAGACTTACTAGGACGTGTAGAATCTTCAGCAATGAAGATCAAATAAAAATAATAATGATATTGAAAAATAGTCATTAGTCATTACATTGCAGATATCAGGGTTTATTTTGAAATGTGTATATTGAGCCGCTTATAAATTGTTCCTCTACTTTTATAACACGTACTGTTTAAAATCTTACCCAAATCTTCCATGCTTTGACTTAGCAGAGCTTCGAAGGTATGCAAGCTATAACTCTCGGCGTCCATGCCCTTGGCAAGAGTGTTCCTTAGGTGCATCTCGTATTCCAGCAGCAAACGGGAGGTGGGAGACCCAGGGGCTGGTGTTGCACTCGATTGAGAAGCTTGACGAGATAAGCACGGCTTCTGGGGAAATGGCATTATAAGTCACGGCTCCTGTACAGCACAGTCTAATTTTCCAATTGATAAAAATTGGTAAACTGTTATTTTTTTAAAATTTCTACGTATCGATTACTGTGGAAATTGAAATACAATTGCAACGAAATAATATATCTAGTTTTTGTTAACATTTAAAACATAACTAGAAAATAAGATGTTTAGACACATCAGTATCTGTTAATTACGTTGTAAACTATGTACTTATCATCAAACTATACATTGATTCGATAACGTTCATTGGTATAACCACAGAAAACAAAATAATCTGTTTTCTGTGACTAAGGATCCATTTGTCCATAACATCAGAAGATAAATATAGTCAATGTTTTTGTTACCCACCCCATGATGGTGTTGTCTTGAATCACGGCGCTGGCAAGGCTCTTGATCTGAGTTACCATTTGATGAAGATGGTGTAGTAGCGTAACACTGGTTGTCAAACATCACATTGTCGGATGGTGGTGACATGTCACGCTCTCCACCGCCCAGCTCTAGGTACAGTCCACGACCGGGATATCCACTGGGTGCCGCTCCAACTCCAACACCACGCCTATGTGCAAGAAAACGTCAAATTAAATCAACGAATTCATAGTTTAAAAAAAATTGGTAACAGCACTGACGTAGGTCATGGCTTTTTACACCAAATAAACATTTTATTATTTATTTATTATTTATTTTATGTATATATTGGTATCTGAGAAACATGGATACGGCATAAGAATTTATCAACATAGTGAAATTCAAGCTAACACACATGCGGATTTATCGGGAAAGGAGATTTCAAATTTGGTTCCCAGGTCGACCCTAAAAACTATTGAGGTTGTCAGGTTCATCCCATATTAACTTAAATGTGTGTATTACGCAATATATACACGTCAAGCTAAAAATATGCGATGTAATAACATAAAAAAAATTTTTTTTTATTTATTAGAATGATTCGGAAAAAGTAAAGAGAATGCAAGAAAAAGTTCGCAAAAGGTAACTCGATTTAATTGGAGACGTGTAGAGAATGGGCCAAATCTAAAACATCCTCACTCAACTATATCATCATCATCATCATATCAGCCACGGACGTCCACTGAATCAACTATATATTTATAAGTAATTGCAATCATCATGCAAACGGTATGAAAATCAGGCCCAGTGGTGTGCTTTTTGAGAGGCCCATGTCTAGTCGTGGACGGAACAGACTGATGGTGATCCTTATTATCCTTGATGTTTTATTAAAGATTCATTTATGTCTGAGTTTACCACAGCCTATTGACAGTTTCTGGCCTATCTCAGTAAATTCCAAACAAAAACATACCGTTGCGAGCTCTGTCGGCTGTTATTGTTGACGATGTGTGAGTAATGTCCGTGGTGCATGTGTTGCTGGTGGCGGTGTCCGTGTGAGCCGCAAGATGGCGGACAAGGAGCTGTGCCACCGTATCGTCGACGTCCCATCTCTGGTGATGTTACCGGGCTCTCCGTCGACGGCATCGGCTTCAACATGCGTTTCAGAGTGCTCGAGTCTAGACAAAATTGAAAAAAGTTAATTATATAAATGCCTATAAGTGGCCACTGCTGATTAAAGACCTCTTCTCACACGGAGGTTTTTTTTGAGGAAGGATAATCATGCATTGACTTCACGCCGTACGCACGGCACGCACGGAGAATGTTTGAGCATTAATCACCGCGCTTGCTCAATACGGATTGACGATTTCAAACATAGAATTGGAAAGTATAAGCCCGGGTTTCCTCACGATGTTCACCTTCACTGTTTGTTAGTGGTATCTAGATAATCGTAGAAATTATAATTCGGATAAAGTGACATTGGTACTTGCTGTTGGTATTATTTATTGGTTGTTATCCCTTACTTGTGCAGAGTAAGAGTGATTGACATTAAACCGAATGAATGTACTTCTCCATAACATTTGGTGATTAGGTTAAAGCAACCCATAAATGGTGTTTAAAACAGTAAGAAACTACTGGTAAACAATGTTATCATCATCACTGGCCTATATGTTCACATCTCTAATGGAATACGAGAATGTGAATACGAGAGCAATCAATATACGGAGAGTGTGTCGTTTCGGTGACAAGGTCCGAAGATGTTTGCGGTAAGATTGATCGAGCGTCTTGGTATCCCTCTCCTTCCAGCAACATTGCTCGAACGTACTTCGTAGGAAAACCATTTTTTTATTATGAATTTTCATCTTGGTATGGTAAACAACTTGACATATCCTGATTACTTAAAGTAACTAAGCTACCTTCACGTATAGTTTGTAAGATCATTAATATAACTAACGGATTTGAAAATTATTTACCTCTTTCTTGATAATTCTATAGTAAATACTAAGTTCTTACCCATATTCATGTCCTCAGTACTCTTGGACTTGGTACGTCGTGATCCTGATGTGTTGTTATTGATCACGTTGTGATGATGAGCAGCATGCCGGTCCGATTCACGGGACTGAAAATTCATACAGTCCTGTTGAGTTTCCAAAATAATTAGCATTTTTTTAATACATATATATGTATTTATGGGCCAACACCTAAGTTTACCAACAGCTTATTCTATTAGAGTTACGAAATACAACATAATAAATAATTGTAATAAGTTAAATGTTGGTAATTTTTAGATTTAGAAGAGGAAAAAAATTTTTCTTTCTTCTTGAAAGGCAACCGAGAAAGACAGTTCTTAACTTAAAACGTGCGACATTATTGACGTGTTGTGTCATTTGTTTTTATTTACGGGTGAATTGTTATTTTTTGGATTTAGAAAAATAAGATTTTCCGTCCTTGATATTTTGGGTCAGAAGACATTGACGTGTCATTTGTTCATATTTTTTCACCCGATGATTTTTCGATAGCGTATTTGTTCCATGTCTCATATCCAGATATAGCACTTTTAATTAGGAAAAGACAATTCAAGATTTTAATATAAATATATATATTTTAAGACCAAAGCTTATTATCTGCGTCCAGTTTTTTATTGACTTATTGTGTTTTAGCGAAACTAGGGAACATTGTTGAATTGAACTTAATCAAAATGTAGTCAAAAATGCGTATTTTTATGGTTAAAAAATTAGCAAAATGTGGTTAAGTACGGTGTAGCACAGAACCCACACATAGCCTATTTAGGTCATAATAAAAGTTATGATCACTGGTGTCAAAATAACCTTGAGTAGTTTTTGTTATTTTGTCACATAGTTCCACTGTAATATGAGCATGGTTTTGGATTCCATTCTATAACTGTCTGTCCTGGAACCGATTTTAAAATATGTGTACCCACTGAAGCCACTCAATCATTAAGACAGTGCCTCCTAAATTACGTAGGTATACACCACCAAACTAATACATTATTTTTCTTACATAACATAACATCACGCCTTTTATCCCCAAAGGGAGCAGAGCAGAGTGCAGAGGTGCACATTATGCCTCTGTACAATGTAACACACACTTTTCACTATTTATGTTATGAGTCCCATGTAATGGGCGGTGAGCCTATTGCCATATACCGGGCACAATTCCAGAATCCGTGCTACTACTGAGATTTTTTTTAAAACCCAATAATACTTTGCCCGACCCGGTAATCGAACCCGAGACCCCTTGCCCGGCAGTCGCATTTGCGACGACTCAGCCAACGAGGCAGTCATCTTCCTTACTTCTATAAAATTATTGGCCTTTACTTTCATCATGTGTTTCATCATTCAATGTTAACCAAATTCATCTGAATTTATATCTAAGCACAAATAAAATAATAAATTAGTTACACATACGGATTCGTTGCCATCGCCGTAGTCGACGCTCTTGGGCATGTGTTGGAGATGTTCCTTGCCAGAGCGTGTAGAAGTTGCGGAAGACTTTGAAGAGGTGAGAGTGCCACCGGCCTGTACTCCTTCCGACTTCAGGTCTTGACTGTGCTGTGACGATGTACCGCCGCCGCCCGCTTGAGTCTCTTCGTTCGTCTTAGAATTGTAAACGTATTGTTAATAAATAAATCGATATGTCGCTGGATAGAAAAGAAGAGGTCGACCAAATGAAATATTATATGATCAATATTGTGAATAATAATAAATCATTCATCGGAATGACATTTCTGTAAAAAATAAGTTTGGAAGAGAATTTAATTGAAAAGACATTATCACACCTATCCAGAATAATTTAGGATTAAGTAGACAAAAGAAGTTGCTTTGATTTCTATAAGTTGAGTATTTTTGATCTATAATGCTCACTGTTATGACCTTAGATAATTATGTAGTTTATATTATAGGAAAATATTTCAAAAATGTGTCTATAGTTTAAAAATACAAATTGGTTAATTCTTACATTAGTGCCATGTGTTCCCACTGAAGCAGTGACAGTTTTAGGTGCAGTCGATGTGTTGGTAGTCATCGTCGATGTTTCTTGTGACTTCGGAGGTCTTGTCGGAGGCTGTGTGTCAGCTTGTCGCGATGCCGCTGTAATCAAAAACAAATTCTCTTCAACACAATGAACGTTTAAGAAGGCTAATACTTTTGTAGTGACAGAAAAATAAATTTTGCCTCAAAATTAATTCTAATTGTTTTTAAAAGGTACATCACATTGCTACACCTATATTTCCTCATTACTATTCATTAGTTTACTAAATTATGTGAGTACATTATGGATAATTGATATTAATTCTAAGTAGGTAAGTAATAAGTAACTTCTACTAACGTTTTGGTGGCGGCTGGTGAGCAGGCTGCGAGTTGGATACGTTGTCGTACAGCGAGGTCGATGAAGTGGCCGCAGCAACTTTGTCAGAGCGGCCGGCCGTGCCCGTAGCACCCGCATCTGTCTCAATCGCACGTGTTGTAGTGCGCGGCAGAGTCGATGAACCTACGCCAATAGTTCCCATTTACACAAACTCTTTATCATTTGTGCATTCGTGCATATATGTACACTGCTAGTTTTTCTACTAAGTGTTAATAAGACATGTGCTCGATTGTTGGATATACACATGTCAGGTTTTGGGAACATTATAAGGTATAACTAAAACTCGGATAGTTACATACTATATGACTCTTGAAAAGGCGGGGTAAATATCGTATCGTACAAAAATAAAATACGGTTTGGGTTAATAAATTAATATGGTTTTGTGAGGCATAGGATTTTGTTTGTGCTTTATTTATATTGCAAGAAAAGAACATTTTATACTCACGATATCGGGGATCTTGTGCTCTCAGTCGGGCGTACTGCTCTTGTGTCATGCATGTGCATTGCGGCTCACGTCCGTAGGTCAGACTACAAACATAAATGTTTATTACTCACAGACTTTATGGGTATAAAGGCTTAGTTTGATCAACAGTGCAATCTCAAATGATCTGTACAGAGCTACAACAACTAAGCGTTGGGAAAAGTTCTCTATTTCCTTCTCTATAGTATCTAATAGTATTTCTGGGTTTTGGTGGAGTCTACCATTGACCGTACGACAGAACATGGATTGTTCTATTAAGATTCTTACCAGCTTGTCAAAAGGCAGAATGCATTGCTGACTTGCAAAAACAAACAAAGCGATGGAATTTCGACAGACAGAGTCCAAAATTTTAGTTCTATTCGGCCATAATGGTTTACTATCAAAACTATGATATGCAATTTAACTGGTTTTGACCAGACATCAAATATTTCACAGAACATCAATATTCTAAGGTTAATAAACATTGTGGTTTATGTCCGTCATAAATGTCATTTACATACCTAGAAGTTGTAATTAAATAGAATCGTTGACGTCATCGGGTCAATGGTCTATTTGCGTATTACACGCTTTGTAAAGAAAATTTAGATGAAGTTTTTAGTGAAACCATAATATATGGCCTAAAGCCAAATTATGTTTATGTTGTTGAAAGAAATAATAGATCTCATATAGTATAGTCTCATAGTGTACAGGTAGCTATAATTATTTTAAAACAACTTATTTATTTTCTCACAAAGATTTGGGCCAGAAAAAAATGTTTTTTAGACTTTTCCCAATTAGTTTTCGAATCAGCACTGAGTTTATTAATTGGATGTATAGTTGAAAATCACCTCTTAAACTGTCAAACACCAAGCGGTCACCGGTGACCGCAACCTATTGTTATATAATTGTGTCTACAAAACCGGTACTCGACGAGTTAATATAGAACAAGTACAATCTACCTTTCACAGCCCACACAAAGTGATACAGAGTCTTCTAAAATATATAAAATATTGTACATTACCTTGATCGATTGGGACTGGCAGGTGTAGAGAGTGGCTTCCTCTTGGCCTTGAACTTTTGCTTATTGCCAGGAGGCTCCAGCTTCAGGCTGTAGCTCGACGAAGCCTTGCGGGAGAATTTGAATGATGGTGACTATAATAATAAAATATGTTAATTGATTATAAGTAAACTCCAGGACTGTTTCGGGTCGTGATGTGTTATTCCAAGGTTCACGTTTGTGGATGTTTTGAGAGTGAGCAACATTTCCATATCAAAATTCTCAGTAAAACTTTTTCTTTATTACACATCTAACTCAGAAAACTGTGCTACTTTAAAAAAAACTTTAAAATAAAGGTCAGACTAACAAGATTGTTGTAGTAACTGTCATTTTAACTTCAAATGACACTTCTATAGGCTTTCGTTTTAATTCCTGTGGTTACCGCATTTGTTAGCATCATTGGTTTTATCATCCTTTTACAACGGTAACTTAAAATACTTACGCAACATTCTCTAAATTGTTTGGCATCAATGGGAGAAGTGAAATTGAGTCCCCATGTGTCGTTAGTCATGGGATCTTTCCAATACACGAAGCATTCGGACGCTTGCCCGATACGGGTGCCTGAAAAGACAACGTATTTAAAAAATCAATATTATATGATATTAATTAACGATTTCACCATACAAATACATTAATTGCTCTCAAATAACGGTCATTATAAAGTCAGTATACTTTATAGTGCCTGAATGTTTGCAATAACAAACAAAAAACAACAGATAGCTTCGATCTCTCCACCAGCGAGATTTAAAATCACAAGCAGAAGGCATTTATTTATTCAGTTGTTTTATTTAAATTCGACTCAACTGCTGGTGTTGCATTATGTAAATAAGAGTCAACATGAATCTAAATAAAATACTGGTTGCAACAGCAGGGCTGCTGTAAGTAATAAAATCAGTGAATGTATGTAGTGTTGTGTTGTTTTCATATAATTTTTCTTATCTTAATTCTAAGTATGTACAGCAACGACTAAACTGTTGCTGGTATATTGCTGTGTGCTTGAGAGGTAAAGTAATGTGTCGGACGTCGGTACGTTCTGGTGAATTCGGTCGATTACTCTTCTAACTATCCAGTGTAAATTTAAAACTAGGTTAGAGCCGCTGGCGTCCGCCGTATCTGCCGAATTGCCCTAGTAAAATGTAGGTGTTACTCTGTCAGTGATCCCCACGTTTGTTACTAAAGTGTTTATTTCGGGAACTACTTTTTTAACGCCCGTAATGCATGTTATGTAACTGTCATAAATATGGCGTTGAAATTGAATATTGCTGTTCCAATGAGTTTCGAAGCCAAAAATATATAGCGCAACACATTTCGTATGCATTTTAAATGACTTTAAGCGATTACTCAGATATTATGCAGTATTTAGCATGTTTCAATTATAAAACATCTTTCTATCGAGACACATCTGTTAATACTTACGACACACGAATGTTATGATAAAATTAGACAAAGTAGTTCGGATATACGATCAATATTTATGGGTTTAACAACTTCGGACTAACATTTTAAGATCAACAGCTATATCATCCCACAGCACACATTCAAGACGTTCAGCCTACGCCTAAATATTACCACTAGCCCATAATTTGTATACAATACATCAGCCCATCTTACCATGAGAAAGATTTATGTCGATATTGCATTAGCATGAATATTTTTAGCTGACTATTATAAAAGGCGATCCGAGTTGCTTCACGGATCATTTTAAAATATATACCGTGTGGGTAGATGAAGCTGCAGAGAACTCAAGTTTATTACTAAGACGAAGTAACATGTAAAGAAAACTTAGTATGCATTTCAACTTTAAGATGGCATTTCCCTTTACCCTTTAAAATTCAAATATGTTTTAGAAATGTCGAGAGATTTCAGCATGCTGACTTTATGTTCAGTATTCAGTGTATTACCTTTATGGAAATATCAACTAACTGCATTAGGCAAATTAATGCATTAACGGTTGATAGCTATTTGGTTAATGTAAGTTTTTAAGGTATGATAGAAATTAAGATGTAGACTCTAAATTATAATGTGGAGCTTTTTCAAATCATATATATCACTAATTTTAATATCAGGCTGTTTTTACGTGTCTATTTATTCTAACGAAAGATTGGCAGACATGGTAATCCCATATTTTACACCCGTTCTATTAGTAGTCTCACTCCAATAGAGAGACTATAAAGCTATAAAATGGGCATTTATTTTCGGAGTCACATTGTTAAAACTAATTCTATTGCTCACCTACACTTTAGTTGGCCTTGTCACCGAAACTTAAAACGCAAGCCCAACAATAATTAAACTTTTTAAGAGTTATGATGTATAAAAATACATCAATTAGTTTTTTAAGTATCTCTTATATATAAAATATACGCACCGGGTTGCAGTAGTCTAACGTCGAGGATCTTGTCGACCTGCGAGTTGTAGGCAGTGATATGGAAGACGCACTCGGGCGAGTCCTGGATGCAGGTGATGTTCACAGGTACCAAGTCTTCCGAGACTTGCTGCCACTTCACTGTGCCTGCGCCACTTGCAGACACGTGGAATACCTCGGCCCATAATCTGAAACGAAATATCGATTAAGAGATATACTGGAGTAAAATAAAAAAAATAAAAATTCTGGCTGATTGTATTTGCTGTGTCTTCAGGGGAATAGAAGTTTTTAAATAATTATGTACGTAATTATAATATTATAAATACTAATTACTAAACGTGATAATTTTGTTTTAATTGAATAATAAATGTTATCAGTCTTTTATCCATTCTATGACAAATGCACTAGGTACAACCTGTATTACAGCCATCCAAATAAAATCATAGAGTTGTCTATCTTACTTATTAAAACATATTTCATATGTACTAAATATGCAAGTATGAAGAACTTCTAATACGAAAATCAATATACTTGAAAGAAGATGGTCCGTACATACGGTACGTATCAAAAAGAAAATCAAAACTTTTATAAACACGTAAGTACTGTCGCTACATTCACATAAAATGTCGTTAAAACTTCTTCCACTCCGTTTGCCTGCATAAAGTTTACTTAGAAACATGTTTGTAAGTAAAATTAGAACGAGTTGCTTTGATGCAACCAATACAGTGAGCGTGATATATTCTGTTTACATTTTAGATGTACAATGCGCGTCTAACTTCGAAACAACAACACACCGGTGACAGTATTAATTTAGACTTTTAGACATGCGTGATGAATTTCATCCATCGATAGAATAGGGTAGATGCCTAATTTTTATTTTAATGTCCGTCTGGTAGATTATTTTAAATCGTTACACATATTTCTCATTTTCTTACAGAAACTAATACTTTTGACGACATATTGATTTGAAATGTCGCGTGACGTCACTTCTATGTACATTTTATACGTAGAAATGACGTTTTAGCCCCCACTCCTAAACTTTGATTCGTTTTATCTAAGTATTGTTTTATTATACGACAAAATATAAAAATACGTGTCTAATATTTTTTAATTACCTAACTTACGGACTAATTAGATTTTTATTTTACATACCCTGTCATCATCCTAATTAAACGAAATATGTTCCATTTTGCCTCACACTAGGATTTTCTCCTGCGTCGTGGGTGCGTTCACAAACATACAAGTTCACATACACAAGACACCCAGACCCGGAACAACAATCTGTGGATCACACAAAGAGTTGTTCCGTGCGGGAATCGAGCACGCGACACGTTGCGTGGCAGTCAGTTGCCCAACCACCGCACCAACTGTGCAGTCATTCACGTAAAACGTTAAATACACCTCCTGTGTTCTCCTAGTGTTATAGCTTTTGCATACAATATAATGATTGCTATTTAAGTATAATCAATAAATATTTTAGTAATATTGCGAGTATTGTTGTTTTTATATTTCATGACATAACTGCCAAAAACCGGATCTATTTTGTGAACTGAGAATTTCCTAGTAACTCATTCCAATCCAGACTATGCTTAGGTATCTATTTTAAAAACTTCATATTCGCCTGCAGCAGCTGCTCAAGGATAACTTATGAAATAAATAACATAGAACAGAAATTACCTTAGCAAATGTCCGTCTCTTCGTCGTGAGTTCTGCCACGGGCTGTCTTCATAGCGGTACGCCTTGCGCAAGATGGGCGCGCAGGAGCACGACGATAGCTTATTGCCCATCGTGCGCGTGCCACACTCGGCGCACTGCACTATGCTGCCTGCAAACCAAAGCTCGTCAACGGATACCCAAACAAGATATTTATTTATTTTCGGTGCATGTTCACTGTTCAGTGTACCTATTTATATGAGGACCAATAAATCTGCATTATTAATTTATTAGTATTTTAATGTAAGTAAGTAAAAGGATACAGATAGGTATTTAAGTTATCTTCCTTGTGTTATTATGTTTACTAAATATTATAAAAATCTGGTTACCCCAAACTGTGTCTGTATTGTGTGCAAAATAAACAAGTTAATTTCTAACACCATGTTACAACCTTGAGAATGATTAGTAGTACCTTTATTTTTTGTTATCACTATGTTATATGTATGTATCTAATGTTTTGAGTCCGATATTGTGAAGAAGCGTAGCAAATTCAACGCGATAAACGCCTCTAATTAACGTAATCCCAGGGTATATAAATCGTCAGGGTACATAAAACTAAGGTTTAAGAGGACAAGTTCCTAACTGACTGACTGATAAAGTAAACAATTTTGTATCTCTAAGATTAACTAATAAATTTAAATAATTCTTCAACAATTACTAAACCTTACTAGGTATCAGACTAATTCTTCTCTGTCGCACCAAGACAGTTTGCTAAAGAAAATATCAGTATTTGATTTTAAAATAACATTAAAAATTTTCCACACTCAACACGTCCTGGAAAACATTCTAAGAGTCTCTCAGAAACAAGAACGTCTGCACATAAGTATGTACTTAGACAGATAAAAATTGATACAAAAATACAACCATACCTTTTCATAAAAATATTTTAATTACGATCAATGTTTGTTCGGTGTTTTATTTTACTTTCGTTACCGAGTGGAGAGACCTGTCTCAAACAATTTTTCAATAAGTAAAATCTACACACATCTGCACTCATTGCTTATTTAGTTTACCAATTATTTTTTTTACTGATCTGAAGAAAGTAATATAAAGAATATTCCTTCTATTTTATTTAGAAGAACAACAATCATTATATTGACAAAAGTTTTTTTGCAATGAGTCTAATGATTTATCATCATCAGGCCATTTCCATCATCTCGTAGACCTAGTCCTTGCCCATAACATAACATTGAGCAGAGAAAGTAATGTAACTGCATCCCACCTAAAACTATCACAAATAAAGTATAGCAGTCTTCGATCTGTCCTCCTAAAGTCCTATTTCTGGTAAGTAGATATCGATGCATATTCTAATGTTTGGCTAATTATTATTCAGACTTCGAGCTTCTGCCTGCACTAATGGCTTCCATATTTTAAATTTCCATTTTAAAAAGCTAATATTACTAAGTAACATTTATTTATAGATATTTTGTTACCGCCGTTGGGATGGAGGAACGGTATAGAATAACTACCGACCACGATTATCAAGGTATTATGAGTTACACTAAAACACTGCTAAAAATAGTAACTTTAGGATACAGTTTACATAAATCCATTGCTTAGTTCGCTATATTAACTTATTCTTTATCTACACACAAATCTATTTAGTAATGGAACTTGTGTATAAATAAATCAATCAGATTTACTAATATTTCAAGATAAGACAATAAGTTTTTTAAGACGGTTAAGATAAACATTAAAAAACTACAACGTTGTTGTTAATGTTTTCTAAAATCATGTGGATAGTATTGTAGTAGAAGTAAATCTAATTAGAACAAGCTAAAATAAAGAAGTACCTATTTACTTACGTAAAACACAACTATCGCAAATTTTATACTAAACATAAAGGAGGTTTAATATCCTCTAACAAAACTCTGTCGTCTTAGGTATGGCAATGCAGACAAGGTCTTGAACAAGGCTCCATCAGCGTATCAATGTAAACTAGTCCTAATAGGTGTAGAGTACGGTTGGATGGATACAAGTGGATAATACTGCACATGAGTGGGTGCGTGTGCACTCACCCGCGGTCCCGTGATGTCACCAGGTGGCATCGGTGCGCGAGAGCGAGTGGCCGCGGTTCAAGCTCTGCGACCGCTGCGTGCCGTGTCTGTACGGGTGTTTCACAACGGCATGCTGCAACCCACAACACAACCATCTTGCATTCTTACACAACTTACCAATATTTACACTCAACATACATGTTAGCGTCCAACACAATCTTCATTGCAAATCTCTTATTAGTGCAAAAATCTTCTGATAAGCAAATTCTGTGTTTTCTTTCAATATATTACAATAATTAATATTTAACAAAATCCAAGCTTGTATTATCATATATTATACATACAATTATTTAGATATATTTTATTTTAGGATATAGAAGAAAGAACATATTTAATATACGTTTATTTAGAAATGATTTTAGATGATAAATATCAATTGATAGGAAAGGGGTGTGAAACGATATAGAAATATGTGCATGCATGATAACCAAAAAATATAATACAAAAACTACAAAATAATAGACTACAATACGTTGAAATGAGGCCAAAAATGTCACAACATAGCTTTTATGTTTACTTAATTTTTGGTTGATATTTGTGGTATTAGTTAACATCCACATTTAAGAACACATGGGGTTTGGAAAGTGTCAAATTTGACTTACTGTAAGGCTTCACCTGCCTTGCTTAATCACTTAATGTCTCACTATCTTACTAAAAATACGCTCTATGCCCAGTTTCTCGTAAAACGTAGTAATCGAAGTGTCATTGAATTAACTTCGAGCGTTGAATTCTATCCAAGTTGTACATGGACACGTGAGTCATTAATATTAAGTCATCTACAGCTGACACGCCTTGAAGTTAGCTAACTATAATTGACATATATTGCATCATCGTAGTTTGAATTGTCGTATATCAATTTCTCATAGACACCTACAAAGTTGGTTGTATTATAATTTCATCTGTAATAAGGTACAGGTGAGACTGCCTTGATCATAAGGTAAAAGTTTTCGACCCCCTACGTCGACATAGATCGTCACTCCTTTTCACTAAGATGCAAGTTTTATGAACCAAGTTTCATTAGATACGGATCAGGTGGTATTGCGGGGATCTCCGAAATTCTAGCTGGGGGATTTCGGGATAGCCTTTTTATATAAAACTTGGTATAATATTGACATAAATCTTTTATAATAACTATTTATTTCAGGTCTTTATAACTGGAGACAATATTTTGACACGTTCGTGATGAAACCATAGGAATGAGTCAAAAACGAGCTTCACTGTTGCTCTATGTGTACTATTGATTGATACTACTTCAATTAAATGAAATAATCATGTCACTTTTATTTCCTGTCTAGTGAATTTAAACTAGAACAGATTCAGATCAATAATAGTTGCGGTGAACTAAACCGTTCTCAGTTAACCTGGTATCTAGACTATTGATAGAAGTTCGAGTCTATCCTATCAAAAGGTAATTAAAATTCTAACGCCGCATTTCGATCTTCACAGCAGTGCCTTCAATCATGTTAGATTAGACCAACTGTATGTGGGTCAGCTCAGTTTGGCTTCTTATTTAAAACTGGCTACATACACCACCTACTTATATATAACTTGTCCGTTTTAATTAAACGTTTCGACAGCTGATTACCTACTGTTAAGCTCATGTTTAACTAATTATATACCTTAATAAGCGACTAAATAAGTGTCAACATTGAATGTGTGGTTTTTATTTGTCTATTGTTATACCTATGTATAGTTTCTTTACATATTTGATACACAATATTATAGATTAGAGAATGTTGGTAATATTATTACAATATCAATTAAACATATCGCTGTATTATTGCACCATGATACTACATATTCCTAAAACATAGATAATAAACATTAAGTTAATTGTACCCACGATGTCCAAACCTATATCCATGACCCCAGTTCATAGGTGCGCTTCACTGCCGTCAGCGCGTCGATAGATTATCTTACATGTTAATTAAATATTTAGAAACGTCTAGCATAGGAAATGGGCATATACTACATATAATAACACAACGAAACTTTAATACATACACTCATAAACATAATATTATATTAATACTTACTTAATTATACAGGCTTAGCTTGTTATCATATTTTAATATTAGATATTTTAAATATAACGTGTGAACATGCAAATACTGATTGCTCGATATAAAGTTACTGTGCATGAAATTTTAATTATGATTTCACATAACGTTAATTTATCATTATTTAATGGCAAAAACGCCCCATAATACAGACATTCACGAGGGAGGCAGGGGAATACAAACACTCCATGTGCAAATCAATTTAAAGGTATTTACGAACCTCGAAATTGTTCCAATTTTGCGAAGAAAATTTAGCAGCTTCCACGCTTTCTTTAGCACCCATATTTACGAAGTTGTGAAATCACTCGTATGAACTATGACAATTCTGTTTCGATGCGTATGCTCTGAGCTCGTGACACTAATGTGCACTACGGCCGGTCTCTGTGTGATAGTCAGCTTTAATAAGCATTTAAATACCTCTATCTTCGGTCGTTCGCAAAGTTAAAAATTCACAGCGTTGAATAGTAAATGAGGGGTGTAGTATGTTGCAGCGAGCAGCGCACGGGGCGCACAGGGCACAGGGGCCGCACGAGCCACGGGGCCGCTCGGGCCGCTCGGGGCTCGGGGCAGCGCGGATGCAGGCGCCGCGTGTAAACACCGCCAGCTGCTGTGCGGCGCGCTCGCTCGCTGCGGGCCGGCAGCAGCCCGCACCCTCGCTACCTGGGCCGCACCGTCCGCGACCTTACTGTCCTACGAGCGACCTCACTACCACCGGCAACACCTAACACTTTCGATTATCTCCGGATATCTCAAAGTGCGCAGAATATAATGTGCGGTGATACGTTTTTGCGAACGGTGCGGCAGGGCGACACCGGCGGCTCGGCTAAACGTCAGAGCAGACTGGGTCGCGATACAAGCGTGCGTGGCGGCGCTGTGTGCGCACAGCAGCGCCGGCCCCGCCGCGCACCAGCCGCCCGCCGAAAGCCGAGACGCAGCGACGCCCAAACCTAGCAAACGATACGGTGGCCAGCGCCCTCCATCTCATCAAGATGTGTTCGACCCCGTGTCTCCCTAACTTTATCTCGGCTCACTTCCTCAATAAAATCAATCTTTAGTGAAAAAATGAGGAGATGTACGCCTTATATGAGTTTGCATACGAATAGTATTAATAACATGTATCGAGATTAAGAAGATCATCAATGGACGTTCGGAGCGGTGCGGCGTGGGGCGGGAGTTGCGCGCGCACTCTCCCCGAGACAACATTCGATTTTGGTCCATGACTGTTGGATGCTTACTGTGGCCCAACCAAGGCTTTAATAGTTCATTCTAGACTACGACCGAGCACACGACTATTTGATCATTTAACTTATTACATATCGAAATTAAATTATACCTTCGACCATCAAACATTACCTCTGTTACCTAAGCATCTAATATAAAACACGACATGTCACATTAACTCATAATAAATAACACATTTATAAAGTCAGTAAACACACAAAATGGTTCATCATCTTCAGTATTGTCAAATTAACACAACACAGTATAATTAAATGGTTGAAACCCATTATTATTGATGCTCATAATGCGAAGTTCTTGGTTAAAAATATCACATGCCTACTAAAACATGAGTTCCTAAGTACCTATATCATGAGTATCGCCAAAAATCATAAATTATAGGATTATCCATATAATTCCGAATACCCTGTGCTACGTAAAACTTTTCATGTATAACTTTAAAATATAGGTCAAAACGTCTGAATTTTATCCCAATGGTTAAGAGACACTGAAAATTGAACAATATAGTAACAGTATTTCAAGCAGAAAGCTATCTTGATAGTCAGCTGTTAGGAACAAGTATGAAAATCGGGATAGTTTCGCGAGAGTAGCAAAAATTCGGAAAATTAGGTCAGCCTAGTGCACAGTTGGTTATTTTGTTGAGAAGCCCAATTAAACATGAAATATGAAAGGGTAATATATATTGTTTTTTATCTTGTACACTTTAGCTGTTACATGTAATATTTATAATATTGAAAACAATGTTATTCCACATTTAAGTACCTTGTTATCGTTGATAAATGGACCTTTGACACAGATACGGAAAAGGAGTGCAAAAAGTAAGTATTATTATTAATGAATAATATAATTAATGAAGAAATGTACCCAAAATACACGTCGCATATATTGAAATGAGCTGTTTTCATCATGTTTTGAATTTCAGAGTAAAAAATACTTTATTGTAGAAGTACCCAAAGTGAGATACGCAGTTGAATCTCCACCAATGGGACCTTTATTATCCTAATTATTATCTAACAACAAATAAATGAAATGTACATAACATGTTCTTTTTATATCAACTCATCGTCATGTGTCATAAATCAAAGTACCATTGCAATTATTTTTAAATTTCTTCAAACCGAAATAATGTAGATTGAATTGCAAATCACCTATTACGATACCACGATGTAAACAATACATGTAGAATGCGTACTACACCACCATCAAGAAATATACTTGTAGCTAGCTAAGCTGCCTACTCATTTTCCACCGTATTAGCCATTGTCTATGATATTTCCTTCGCAGGTGTCAATGGCTCGAATGTATTTACAACGTATTGCGTATCTATTGTGTAAGGCACGCACAGACAGCGGCCTTATAAAAGGCGTCTACAACACACGTTTAGAGTACTACGCTCGAACCAGACAGTATAATAGTATACACTGATATTTCTATAAAATCATTAAAGCAGTCAAATTAGTAATGATAAGAATGACTGTTGAACCCAACGATGGACTAGGAAGGATATGATGATGGGCAACTAGCTTCACTTCAAAATTTTTGTTATTGACGATTAAAAGTGCCTTCTTGGTCTAATTGAAATAAATTATATTGACTTTGACTTTGATTATGGGACTGATATTTGAGGTTCATAAAATTATGCATTTGGAATTGATAATTTTATGTGCGTTTTTAATTGTATGTACGTAGCACCCGTTTAGGAAACAAAGGAGATAGTGCATTTTAATTTCTGAATATAATAATGAAAGCCAAAATATTTTTCACAAATACATACACCGTATCCAAAATCCTATTCATTTGTATTTGATTGGTGCGAATCACCTCTTCATTGGAGGCAGTGATACAGAAGTGATATAATTGTATAAAACACAAAACAGAAGGGCCTTTGTTTTCACGATATCGTGAGGCCGCACTCAAAGCACTCGCCCCATACAGAGTGGCGGCGCGAGTAGGTCAAACATTAACTATGATAACTGAAACCAGTATGGCAACTTTGTATTATCTTGGCCAAGTAAGTCGTGGGTAGCAAATGAGCAGTATAAACGTCATTTGTCTCACAGACGACGCTACTGTTGGTTGAGTCTGTCAAATATTAAGCTAATTTCGGGCTCTTTCAACTAGTGCAAACTTTTGGCTTACTGTCCGTATGAAATGTGTAGTGTTTTAATATTATTGGATAGTAAAATGGATATTTTATAATATATAGTATGGAAAATTACAGTTTTCTACATGCTAGTATATACATATATATACTACTTTGCGTAACCTAATCGTTAATTTAATACGAAAGTATTTCAGTACTTTAAAATCATAATGAATTACTACTAGTATATTACTAAACTGAAATGGCACATGAATATGACATCGACGACAATTTAACACACTAGAGTTATAACCTGCACATCCGATATCTAAGACATGTAGAAGAAACGAGAATTCAGGAAGCAAAATCGATTCCATCACAATGGTCCACAGTTACAAGTTACAAGTAGGAGTTTCTACCACTAATTAGTTTCGTGATGCTGACCCAATCAGTTCCTGGAAAATTTCCAGGAGATTGGAACACAGCCCATTAGGTGCTTGTCCCAAACTTACGACGAATAAACTGAGAATTGCGAATTCAGTACGATCTGTTATCTAAATGCAAGGAAATACTGCTTTATTTCAATACGTTAAGCAATCTTGGATTTAAGTATTTTAAATTACTGCAGTTTTTAGTATATTTATTTATAGACGTGTGTTTAAAAACTATTATACAAGAACCAACGTTAAATTAAACCCGAGAGTACGATGCGTCGTGTTCCACGCGCTCCTCAAAGAACATCACAGATGGGGCCCAATATGGCTGATGCCGATATGGAGCTGAGTAGGACTTTACGGGTTGCCAGGGCTTCGGCTCGAAGAGTAGAAATAGGAACGGGGTGGTTTTTAGTCAGTAAGAGTCTGACACTTACATTCGCTTCACCCAAGATGGGAGAAGTGATTGGATGATTTACCCCTCATACATTTTTCAATACGTAAATTAAAAGAGCTATTTATGTCTTCTATTTAAAAAAATTGAAATAATAGTGTAGAGATATTTTTATCAACAAATGGATCTGTTGTAATGTTTTACGAAAATCGTATAGTGAAATAAGTGTCTGAGAAAAAAAACATAGATTGGACCATGGAAGATCGACGAAATTAAATTTCAGCAAGATGAAAACGTGTGAAGTAACTACCGATCGAATCATTTCCTTTATTTTTTATTAAATTATTTAGTTAATATGCTTCATGCACAAAATGTATAAATAGGTGAACTTAATGCCGCAGGCATTTTCTAACACATATCTTCTTTATATATCATTCAAGTATATATCTCCAACCAAACCTTTTAAATAACATATGAAAATAAATGAACAGACCGCAGATAGTCTTAGAACTTAGGTTCATTTATCTGTTTTAAGTAACCAAGAGTAAAAGTCGGTCATGCAAGTGAAGTCTATGGAAGTAGAAGCCAACCAACAAACAAGTTATTAATTCTTTTATTACTTATAAGAGAAATTTAAGTACAATCACATCACTAAATAATATCTATAACCAAATTGCATAGTATTAGAGTTACTAGAGACTACGTTTATCACCACCCGCATTCTTCTCAAGTGTGTATTAAGAAACGATATTATATTTAGAATAAACTGGGCAGCAGGGTTCCTTTATAAATCAGATCCTTGCAAACTAACAAATTTTAACCCAGTCTCAGAAGAACTAAGCTTGGAGATAATTGTAAACCTATAGAAAGAGTTGGGTATCGTCTAGGAATGAACGCACCCACGTCACGGGAAAATATATACTACGACTCAAATAGGTAAAAATAATTACGAACTATGATATTATTCATTATATTTTTTGAACAATGTACTCTTACATTAGAGGATGATTTACGTACTCCTCCAAAAATTGTGACTCATCCGATCGTAGCGATCGTAGCCACTTTGCTACGCCCGCTACGGTTTCGTAGAAGTGACATAACCACTACGTCACTTCCGCCGTAGCAACAGAGCGTAGCACCATAACGGATTTTTACATAAATGTAAATGTAAATGTGACTAAAAATAAATAAATAAAGAAATGATCAATAATCATATTTATTGATTTTTCAGTATAATGAGTATTATAATAAGTATTATTAATTCAACAACAACTTATTTAAGACCCTATCGAATATCTTTCTTACTAATAATACCGATTAGTTTAATTATAACAACTTTGTGATGTATATGTTTTAATAAATAAAACTGCAATTTGTGAAAAAATATTTCAATCTGAAAATAATTTTAGAGCATTACGTAGAATCGAAACATAAACTGAACTATTTGTCATTCGATTTGATTAACAACATGAACAAAATTGGAAGAAATTGTATATGAATCAAAATGTATCTCATACATGGAAATGCAGCTGCATTTACACAACATTAATTATTGTAAGAGACTCATATTTTCGTTCATTAATTGCACAAAGATTGAATTTTCAGTAAAAATAATTGGAACGCAAAATTACGAAGTACTCATTACTGATATTCTGACATT